ATTTTGTTGCATATACTAACTCAGCTGCAGTGCTTGTAGCTGGTGGTGCTTCTTCTTGGCTTCTCACTAGGTCCTGTTCAATTTAGACAAGGGAATCAATTTAGAATCCACCTATGATACATAAATACATTTTCAGTCAAGTATAGTAGAGCTTGTAATTTTGCTAGCTTGAATCAAAACCAATCATCTTCAATAAATGCATGGGTTCATGCATTCGACCCAAATACTAAATTGTGAGACGACGCCATACAAACTTGTTCCTTGAGATCATTCTTGAAACTTCACACTAACACTTCACACCGGTTGACAGGTTCAAATCACTCTTGATCTGCACATCACCGAACAAATATTATAGGTGAATGAGCCTCCGATTACTAAATGGTAAGTCAAAATACCAATGATTTCATTATAAGTAGCAGCCCAAAACAAATGGTAAGTCGAAATACCTTCGATCATGAATGAGCCTCCGATCACTTGAAGCTGCATATTGGATATTTTCCTAACGCTAAAGAAGACAATGACCTTATATATCAAGAACAACTTTGCCCATTTTATGAACTGGCTAAAACTTTAGAAGAACGGTAAAGGATAAGACAAAAAAGAAGATTACGTGTGCAATCCACAAGCTTCAATTCCATTAACAATTGTAGCACCAGACCCAAGACAAAAAAATGCCAACAACGGATATCGAGCCCAAACAAATCTTTCTTTGGAATACCCATAACTGCAGAAAATGAGAGAACATAGTGAATACTCGAAGAAGAATGAATCTCGCATATGGGTGAAGCTCTAAGCAAGTTTGATAAGATCATAACTTACATAGAACTAAATCTTTACTACTCTAACAATCCTTTTCTAATGTCTATTGAAACTATGCCCTAGTTAATCACTACATCACGTCAAATGAATATCGAACTTGGTTCCTCTTGGATTTATAGCCCAACTAACAAAATTGGAAATATAAAAACATTTCTTCCAAGTAACAACCAAGGAAATACAAAGGAAAATCTTTTCATATAAAAGGCCTGAGATGCAAATCCCAAGTCACGGTGAACTCATACTACAATAGTTACCTTATCGAGAGAGGACGCAAAAAATATTTTATTTGGTGAAGAGACTTATTACGAGGGTTCCTCCCACTATTTGTGTTGCGACCGTGCATTGTCTATGCTTTCAAAGGGGCTTGATTCATTCATCCTAGGATGCTGACAAGAGTTTGATGACCCCCGTATAAGAGAATAACAAATATATTTACATTTTACTAAACAATATGCCTAGATCAATATGTTTCAAGTAATCCCACATCAACAAAAGGCAAGTTGTACCTGGCTCAAAATGGTTCCGTGGGATTGATTATGGTACTCCAACATCTATCCAGAAAAAACCATTAACAACAAATATTACAATAGTAATAAAAAGTTCAAATAACAGTAGAATCTAAAATGATTTCATAATAAGCACCTGACTAGTGAATGGGGAAAATCCACTCCTCGGCGGCATGATGTATGGTGATTGCATCTACATTAGATAAATTACCTCATTAGCATAAAGAGGCACCATAACTTGAAGAACATACAAACAAACTAATTGATCACCAAACTATTAAATACCCGACTAGGGACTGGGCAAAATCCACTCATAATCCCGGACGGCATGATGAATGGTGGCTGCTGCATCCATATAAAAAAATGACCAATTAGTAAAACATAAATACAAATTGAGGACAAAGAGCAATATACCTGATTATGAAAATTTAGATTTACAGTAGGACCACCAATGTTGCTAGGATAAACGGCACTTTGAAACTGATTTGAATTACTCGAATAATCTAGGAACTGAGTTTCATTATGCGTCGCTTGGACAACCAACTCTACATTACAAAGTAATAGATACATTAATTGGTATCATGTAACATAAGCGAAAAATTTAACTAATTATAATAACTAGAATAATATGTCACTCACCTTGACTTTCTATTTGCGTTGGGGAGTTCCTTTCTTAGATGTTTTCTTCTTTTCTCACTTGGAGCTTTTAAGCCTTCCGTAACTTAGTCCCTTTCGTTTCCTTCGAATGGGGTCCGCTACCGAAATATCGCACAAAGAAGCCTCATTATACTCATCATCACCAGCATCATCGGTCACAACCATACTTGATTTGTATGATGAAATTTCAGCCTTTGCTTTAACCATGTGCTTCCTCAATATTCTCATAGTATGTACATCTTCAGCTCCCAAACTCATCAGGTCAATGGATTCATGCATTAACGTGGAAAATCGATTAAATTTAGATGGACCCGGTGACATTTGATGGGATTCATCATTGACAATCCCTTCTTTGGCATCCTTAGTCCATCTTTTCAAAATATAGGAAGAAGGAATTACCGTAACCATCGACATGTTCACATTCAACACGCGTAAGGCATGGCGACACAACCACCCTTTTGATTCAAATAATTTGCATTCACAAAAAACTGATAAGTCTGCAGGGGTCAAATCTAACAACATATTCACCTTGAATCCCAATCCCCATACACTTGAGAGTATATAAAGAAACCGATCCATCAGATGTAGTACTTGAAATATGTTCAGAGAGACTTTGCACAAATTCTTCATTAAACTTTAGAAAAATGGTACGGGTATATACCGAAGCAGCATGTGACAAGATCCCATTATTTTTAACCTGCGATTTGGCTGTCCCACGAGAACTATAATCATCTTGATTTTCAACTTCTCTCATATGTTTCAATTGTTCTTCATAATGGTGGACAAATTCTACAAGAGACAATGTCTTCGTCGACATATGTTGGAAGACATTATTGGTGCTCTCACTCCTTTGACTTGACCTTATACCACATGTAAAAGAGTCACGACCAAAAGCTGAACTCCATTTATGTCTAAGGTCATATAATCTCCGAAGCCAATTGTTATTTTTAGTACCCCACACCTCTTCCATTTCCCTCCATGTAGCTTCAAATTCGTCCTCTGATTTGCATCTATACATAAGCACTAAGAAATATTTATCCTTAAAACCTGGCTTATGGTAAAGATGTGGAATGTTTTGATTGGCATTTTTCCCGATGTGCCAAGTGCATAAACGATGCTGTGTATTTGGAAACACCATTCTAATGGCTTTTGCCATGGCTTGGTCTTGATCAGTGAATATGGTTTTGGAGCCTTATTTCCCATAGACTTCAAAAACACATCAAATAACCAAATAAATGATTCCATGAGTCTCGTCCGGCAAAATGCACAACCAAACAGAGTATTCTTCCAATGGTGATTAACCCCAACAAAAGGTGCACATATCATGTTATATTTGTTGGTACGGTATGTGGTATCAAACACTAGCACATCACCAAACAGTCATAATCAAATTTGGACAAGCTATCTCTCCAAAATAAATTGGTCAATCTACCATCTTGATCTACTTGAACAGCATAGAAAAACATTGGGTTTTGCATTTGCATGCAATGAAAATGGTTCAAAAGACTTTGACAATCTCCGCCACTTATAACCTTGGATTTTTCCGTTTGCAAAAAATTTTGACAATCACGCAGGATGAAACCTAAGTTTTGCTTCCTCGCCGTTTGCTAAAAATTTATATGCAAGTCCCCCAATGCCTGCTTTAATCATATCAACCAAAACACCCTTGCACGTGTCGATATCATTCTTCCACATCTAATCAAATGCTTTTGATCTTCCCGTACAAATGCATGATTATGCTCGAAACATAGTCCATGACTTCATAGACACCCTTATCAACCTTAAATTTGATATGAGCAAGACACCCACATCTAACTTCAAATCTCTCATATTTCTTTTCTTGATCGATGACCCAACCGAATGCCCCTCACAATTACACAAAAAAGTTCGCAGGTTATTTCACCCTTTCTATTTTTAACCGCATTACCTTTTCTCACTCCAAATCCTTTCTGATTGCATAAGCCACATACTTATGATATGCTTCAAGTTCATTTGAGAAAACCATCCCTACTACAAACTCAAAATCTTTGTCCATATCACGCATCACATGTGCAAGATGGGAAGTTTCATGCTGCAATCAAATGAACAAAAAATAATTCAAGAAAAATAGCATCTCATCCTTTACTTAAGAAAGCAAATTATGTTTTATGAGTAAAGAATTACCTCTAAGTCAGCCATTTGATATCTTTACAAGTGCAAAATAACTGAGGTGATGAGAGACTATGAAGTTCCCTCCTAATGAAATAAAAAACAAACATTTTTAGAACATAATCACTCACACAAACATTTTTAGAGCACAATCAAACACAATCAGCAAAATATACAAGCATGGGATTTATTTAGGGACCCAATGTAATTACTAAACTCCACATCGTCATCAATAACAAACGGAAAATCGAAATTAACGATATTGGGGTTTAATCTCTTACTTACTGCCAAACAGGAAAAATCATCTCAATGGGGTATCATGGACTTATGTCTTTCCCTCATTGGAGCCACACCTACTTTTTCTTAGATAGTTTTATGTCTAGAAAAAAAAGATTCAAGGAAAGTTCATATCTTATGCATTAATCCATTGTGTCTAAATGAAGTATCCGGACAAGCTATTAAAAAACCAATAAATTTGGCAAATTGATCACCATGTGTACCATAGAATGTCTACATTCTATACATAATTTTCAGGATCAGCTATACTTTTATAGTCACCGTTGTCATTCCAAAATCCCTAACATTAACATATCACGTTGCATATTGGCTTTAACCACACTAACCACGGCAGAAGTGCTCCACAACCAACAAAAACAATCAACTATTGATTCATTAGATTAGATATCCAATGATTTTCAATTAGACAAAGCAGTAAAGCCAGCCACCCAGACAACATAATTTACAAGTTAACATCTAACAAATTCATTCTAGCTACTATTTCTAAGCTTTGAGTTTCACTAAGATGCGACTCTACTGGTACATCGGTACATCCACTCAAGACTGTCTATTGTTTGCAAATAAGCCCAACAAATAAACATAGTAGCCCAAATAGGTTGCAGTACATTGCTTGCAAATACATCCTATATTATGGATTTCTCACAAGAGAAATGATCAGGATATTGAACTTTGGCAATAAAAGGAAGAGTTAAAAAATTGCCTGTTTCTCCCGCGACAAATGAGCACGTTCAACAGCAAGCATTTCTTCCCACCTCAAAACCTAGTGTTACAGAGATATCACACGAAGGAATTATTAAGTTTTTAGTGCAAATATTAGTGGTACTAAATGTTGGAGTTTGTGCTATTGTCCACAAACTTCCGGTGATATCTTAATGCTAATTAAAGAAACGATAAAAGTACTCACATATTGTGCATAGTGAATCGCATCATCAGACTTCAAGCAATATTTCAATGCATGCAGGAGATCCTGGATTATCATGTATGAAACATTTCAGGGACAATGAATGTAAAATCAAAGGAAGTAGATGGGCAAACTTACATATAGGAAATTTGTGATGTAAGCTATACACCCAAATTTACATATATAAGAAAAACGAAAGGCATAGTTCAAGTGTATCCTATCCACATTTACATTGATTCAATGGATACACTTGTCTTATCAAATTGAGTGAAAACTCAAAGATTCTCATTTTTGCTTGTTAATTGCAAAAGGCATAATCACCCTGTAAGTACCAGCTACCTCAACAAATATCTGAAAAAGTTGAAGAAATGCGTTACTAAAATGTCTAGCTAAATCATCATCTACTTAAGTTGATCTTCCAGGACCATTGCCATTTATATTTGAATCAACTAGAATTTAACTTAAAAGAGCTCCTAAATTGCCTTGAGCAAGGTAAGGCCAATAGCACATGAGTTCCATTTTTTCCTCCTATGGATTTTCCATGATGATGTTCCTCCATCTTAACTCAGATATCAGATAGTAGATAAAAGCATCCATGTACGCAATCTCTGTTTTGGCTTTCTCGATGTCCTCCTCATCAAGTAATAGAAATCCAAATGGATCATTGCCTACTTCAACTTCCGTGGATGCAAGATAAAGGAACATAAGCTGTTAGAGGCATAGTGGCTCTAACTAGATAGTGCTTTATCCGATCTAGTTTCCTTGACAGTTTACAGATGGAGGACAATAATTCTTGAAGCGCAAACAACATGGAGGGCCCTGATTTTCAGTGTTACAAAAAGTACAGATAAATTTACATGACCTTGTGCTTGTTCTTATTGATCCTCGGCCGCTCATTGATCACGAAACCAAACTGCAAGGGGAACTCAAGATAAAAAAATATAAAAAAGCCAGTTATTTAAACATAATTAGATCCACACTTGAATTGACTACAATTAACAAAAATGTCGGACGTGAACATAATCAGTTTGCAGAAAATAGACTAATTGATGCACTTAACTAATAGAGCTCAATAATCTCAAAGCAATGCAACTGAAAAGATCCCTTTTATATTTTTGCAGATGAAATCCAATGAAGAGACAACCTATGATGCTTGCATCTATTCTCTCCCGCACAAGAACAAAAATGGTTGTCTGTGGCATTATCCACAGATTGCACTCAAGAAAAATGCCTGATGTTCTTTCAACCAAAATCAATAGAGAGCGTAAGAATGAGCACAGGCCACATCTTTCATTTACCACACAGTCATAACAAGCACAAGCATTATCACCCATTCACCAAACGAACCTCAAGCTGACTATTTGACAAATTAAGCACGACCAATCCGACAATCTGCCCGAACGCCAAAAAAAACACAATAATAGGGAACCTGTTGGTGGCGCGGTTCGTTATAGAGAGCCGAACAAAGCCGTTTCTCGGGACAAAGAGAGAGGGGCAGAGGACGAATCGCCAATGGGGGCTTCGGAGGCGACGGCGTAGGCGGAGGCGGCCGCGTGGTCGAGATCTGAGCCACCAATCTTCACGTTAGGGCAAAAACGATGGGAATTTCAAGTCATACAAAACCCTAACCTGAGAATGGGGCTTCGGGAGGTAACGCAGAGGGCGAGTCGGAGCCCGAGATCTCCAAAGGGGCTGCGGGAGGCGACGGCAGAGGCGCGGTTCGTCACAGAGAGCAGAGCGGAGCCATTTCTCGGGATAGAGAGAGTGGCAGAGGACGAATCGCCAATGGAGGGCTTCGGAGGAGACGGCGACGGCGTAGGCGGAGGCGGCCGTGTGGTCAGGATCTGAGCCACCGATGGGCTCCGGGAGGCGACGACGGAGGAAACCGGCGGAGGCAGAGGCGCGGTCCACAAAAAGAGCCGCGCTTCGCGGAGGAAAGAGAGAGAGAGCAAATGGGTTTTCTAGAAGGGGACGGCGGAGGCAACCGGTGTAGGCGCGGCGGGTTCACGACCAAAGGATGCGAAGTCGGGGAGGAAGGAAGAGGAAGTCGGGGAGGAAGGAAGAGGAAGTCGCGAGCGGGAGGAATTTTGAGCGGGAGGAGTAAAGGAGAGAGAAACCAGGAGGTGAAAAGTGAATATTTGAGCACTAACGGAGGAGAGTTAACGGAGAATGGGAGAGAGAAGGGAAAGCGGCTGATTCTTTAGTAAATCTGATCTGTGGGCCCTTCTTGCCACGTGTCTTCCGCTCAATGGTGTTATGTATTGCTGACGTGGTGTATTCCACTCACGCAATATTTTCTCGTTAACGAGGGGATTACTTATATAGTTATCAATCCATTCGTAGTTTAAAAACGAAAAGCAAACCAGGTCGAGCTAGGCCCGAACCGGCCCCTGCCGGCACCAAGCCGGATCAGTTCGGTCGGGGGCATTTTCTTGTATGATCGGGCCGGCCGAAAGTACCTCGAGGCCCGGCCCGTGCTCGCCGCTCCTAACCTGCCGTGGCGCATACCTTTTGTGCACACGTTTTGTCGTCCCGCAAGCTTTACACATCAGTACGGCTTTTAATTAAGCCGCCGGCGACTGCCGCGGGATCAATCGGTCGGGAAGAGATGATGTAAGAATCCTCGAAACGAAACCGGCGTTTTAATAATATAAATGTGCCTGTCGCGACCAGATTTTAGGTCAAGGGAGTGTGCACCGTGCGGTAGGACGTCACCGGCGAAGCGTGGGTTCATGCAGCGCTCTCACGCGTGCTTCCACATGGCATGTTACGTAACGCGAATCCGATTGTACATCATCGGTTAGCTCAACTTGGGCAGTTTGATTACTAGGCGAAGTTTGGTCAGTGGGGCGTGCTCTTCTGGCGCCACCAACGATCATTAAGCCAAAAGAATCACGTAACTTTAGATTTGCGGATTTATGTAATCAAGCTTTCGTTTCTTCTTTTTCTGGGGCAGGTTTCTCTTCGTGGTGTCTATATGCGGTCCGTGGCGAATTGATCGGGGCAGAGCACGTTCGGATTGATGAGGCGCCGCGACGCCGTGCTCTTCGGGCCGGACGCATGCCGTGGTGAGTCGTGGAAAGAGATGGATGAACTGATGAAATGTGCTCGCGCCGAAATGCGACTCCGCGACCGAAATGCCTTTCGCCGAAGAAAGAGACATGTTGTGTGGCGATTTTGGGCAAGAAATATCGCGGGTAGACAATAGAATCGATAGCTTCAATCCAAGCGGAAGTGAACGTATACAAACCGTGTCGGAATTTAATCGACGACAAAACATGAAAACGTAATCGCCTCAACGGAAACCAAACGTACACAAACTATGCCGGAATTTTAATCGACGGCAAAGCCTGAGAATGTGAAGATGTATCGCCGGAATTTTAATCGACGATGAGGCACCCAGGATATACAGTAAAGATATACGCTGAAATTTAATCAACAACGTGGATCTGGAAACTACAACTAAGAAATATGTCATAGTTTAATTGACGACGCAAGTCTGGAAACTAAAACTACAGTGCAGGAATTGAAAGATAACATTTTTGTTTGTTTGTACCGGGAGGTCTTAAGTAGACAAACGCTCTTATTTATAGTGTTCATGGTATAACCGTTTAGGAGCAGTCCTCCGATAGTTATAACCATACATCCACGTCTCCGAGAATCTTAGCCCCATTTAGTGCCATGATCTCGTCTTCAGGCGGTTGTTCCCTTAAAATTGCGTCTTGATCCTTCATGTTAATCATTGCCACATCCATTCTTACTCCACAATTGATTGGACTTCGTTGCTTTGTTCACCAATGATTTCAAATTTTAAATTCCATAACTGCATCTTGACGCCTTCTCGGTATCTAGTTTTCTCTTGGTACTTCAATCGGTAATCTATCAACCCTTTTAACCGATATCCATGTCGACTAACTCCGTTACGACAATCGCCGACCATACCCCGTCATGTATCGACAATTGATTAACGGTCATCGATGTACATCAATATCGATATCAATTCTTATGGTCGTCGACAATAGCTCACATGTTTAATAATAACTTGTACTCTAGTCACGTACTTATCCATATCGACAATCTAGTTAATTTTTGGTGCAAACAAAATGTAATTTTCTTTCGTGCTTCTCATGGACACAAGATTAGAAGCTTCATTGAGAGAGGTTCTACATAGGAGTGATCGGTTCCTGATTTGGTCCGATTCCAAGGCGAAACCGGGAACCAGACAGGGAGAACCGGTTCCCAAAATTGGGAACCGGTCACTTAGGGGTTAATTTTTTTTTTTTGGGCAAACACTTATGATTTAGTTCACATTTTACCAATTTTTATTAATGAATTTATATTAATGAAGTTCACTTAGGGTTTAGTTCACATTTTACTAATTTTTTGAAGTAAAAAATTAAAAAATATATATACATAGTCGGTCCGGTCCTGTTCCCCCTTGGAACCAAGAACCGGACCGCCCGGACACCGGTTCCATTTTTAGCAACCGGAAACCAAACCGACACTCCCGGGAACCGGACCAAACCAGCCGGTCCGGGCAGTTCCCAGTCCGGGCAGTCCGTTTTGCACACCCCTAGTTCTACATGTTAGACAATAGAGGAGCTCCTTTGCTTAGCAATCTGCAAGTTGATTGCATCGTCATACGGGATTCAAAAGAAGAAGGTGTCATCCGTGATTCAAAAGTAAATGGGCCTTCGTCATTGGGTTATTCCAATTTTAAGTTCTATTGGGCCCAATTAGTTACCTACAATCAGAAATCAGAAGGACCAACCATAAATGTTTCGCAATTCTTATTCATTAACTAGCAATTGAAACCCGTTCTTTGCAGGGATTTATTCGTATGTATTTAATTTTAGTTCGATTGATAAATTAATTGAATCTCAGTTCCTATCGACGGGATTCATATGAATCTAATATATTATGTCAACATTAGGAGTGAGATGAATTCATTGATGTGTTCGTGCGTTTTCAAGTTATAATGAAAAAAAACTGTGGAGAAAGCACAATTCTCCATATATTTTGAAATTGGAACAATTAAATTGTTTTCATTCAAACCTCATTTAATATTGGATTTTTATCTTTTCAGTAGCTCATAAATATTGCAATATATACAACTCATTTATAGATTTTAAACTGGAATTTTAATATCCTAATATTAAACAAAATAAAAATGAACAAGAACGAGAATTAATTAACCCAAAAGTGTAGTCCCATCAAGTTACAGGTATTCGACCACAAAAAAAAAAAAGTTACAGGTCGATGAGTTGTGTAAAAATTATACAGTCGTTACAAATGATTTATGTGATTTTGTACATTTCTTGTGGGTCATAAGTGGAGTCCATGTTTCTTATAATCATAATTGCATTCCTTACTCATTCTGAGCACATTTGTTTCTTGGAATCATGATTGCCTTCCTTTACTCATAAGTTACATAGTCGTTATAGATTGTAAATCTCATTTTGTTTCGTGTGAAAGATACTCATACAAAAATTGTTGAACCACAATGTGTTCCGAAGCTCTGGTCGAAGCCCTAGTGTACTTTAAGTCGCGAACTACAGAGAAGATTGAACTGAAAACAGATCACTTTGATATGATAAGCGGACTCTCCAACACAGAACAAATCACTTGGAAGCTTAGTGTGCTTATCAGTGAAGCCCATAAACTATTGAAGCCGTTCGAAGCTGAAAATGGCCCATAGTAGAGAATCAAACAAGGTGGCAGATAAGTTAACTAAAACCCAAAGAAAGAAGTGCTTACCTAGTGTACTTTAAGTCGCGAATTGCAGAGAAGATTGAACTGGAAAGAGATCACTTTGATCTTATAAGCGAACTCTCCAACACAGAGCATATCAGTTGGGAGCTTAGTGTGCTTATCAGTGAAGCCCATAATCTATTGAAGCCCTATTCAAAGCTGATAATGACCCATATTAGTAGAGAATTAAACAAGGTGGTAGATTGGGTAGCTAAAGCCCAAAGATGAAGGTGCTTATTGAGTAATTTGGTCCACCCCCCACCTCGAGCCTTTAGGATTTACTGGGTTTCGAAATTAATGGATTGTATTCACGAATTCTATTTTAGTGAACGAATATGTATGTTTCTGACAATTTTAGCAACAAAAAAAAATGTATGTTTCTGACAAATAAACAACTTGCTTCGATTTTTTCAAAGAGAGGTGCTAAGGTAACGATCTCTGTCACTCTCATGAGTAATGGAGACCTCCTGGCCATTTTTAAATAAATTGGCATAAAATTGGGAACCGAATCGGTTAAGGTTGGGTCCCAAATTTTTTTACCCAGACACCAAACCGGTTGAGTAAGGCCGGTTTGGTTTGATTCCAAGGTTGAACCAATTCGATTGCTCACCCTTAATTTAATTATAGTAAAACCATCTCCCAATCTCTCTTTTTCGTAGGCGCACCATCGTACCACGTGTATCCGCTGAGTTCGGGTTCTATTTTTGCAATTTGTTTCTTACTCCAATTATTTTGTTCGTTCAAGTTAGTCATGGCACACTTATTCATGTACTCACAACAATCTATGCAAGAACTCCACGTGTCTCTCTCACTACGTGGGGGGTTGGATTTGCACTTGCAAAGGAACAATAATTTAAGCACACGATAAGGGATGAAGGTACAACCAATAATCAAAGCATCTAAGAATGTGGCAAGGGAAGGAGGTGGCGTCAGTAGGGGTCGACCGGCCTTGTGGAATGATCATCATCAACATCATCATCATTCATCTGAAGAAACAAATAGTGTCAGAAAAATTGGAATCGCAACCATAATCCTTGTTCGATCCAATCATTCAAAAGGAAAGGGGTTTTGTTTGGTATGCAGAGGGCATTTCATTGTCAATCAAAAGTTGGAAGAAAATGAATGGATTTGTGGGGCAAGTGCGCTTCTCTCTCTTAAACCCTAGCTTGATTACCAGCTTTGTATATTGCAAGATATCTCTCTCTCTCTCTTTCTCTTTCTCTTTCTCTCTCTCTGTCTCTCGCAAGGACATGAAATGGAACCCCATTTTTGGTGAAAGCAAAAGCACTGAAAGCCCCCTCTTGAAAGTGACCTTCCTGTTGAGTCGGCAAGGGGGTTTCTGTACAGTGCGCACATCTTGCCAAAACTTCTCATGTCCCCGGCCTCAGTGATATGAGTGACAACTGCTTTGCTTACCCACAACGAATCATGGATC